AATGCATAGGTTTGCTAATCTACCATAATTCTGAACGAAATTAAATTTATTGACATAGTGAACCTGACTAATACGACGAAGGGTGTATGAAAGCTGCATTCTCATTGGCTAGAGTTGGGCTAGAATAGATACTCCAGTCAGGGCTCGCGATCCATTGCAACATTGACAGCTCTATGGACAGGGAAAACTAGCCTCAAGGCCACGCGTGACGCGGCAGCTTTTGATGTACATGATCGATCGATCGCGTACTATATATACGGCCTGCGTAGCCGCGCGGCATACACACACACACGCTTGCAGCGTCAAATAAACGCACACACTGGCCAACGTCTGACAATCTCAAACAGTGAACTAAGCCGTGTCTATATTGTTAAGCAAACTATATTACAATGTTATTAAATGAAGGTACTGTTAGTAGGCTGTTGGACTGTAAAATGAAAATTTGTACATTCTAACCCCCCTAAAATTTCCTCTCAACGGATTTAGACGTTTCACAAAATCGACCCTGGGACTGTGAAATCCGCGGATTTCCGCGGATCCGCGGAAGATTCTCATCCCTGTAAAATGGAGCGCTATTTCACATAATACACAGACTTTTGGTGCGCGATTTCAACCACTTTTATGAGGCGCGATGATGCACGCACCATGGCACAATTTATGGTACGCGGTGGAGCGCGAGCGCGATCGCGCCCCTTAAAAATGAAAGCCTGTACTAGAGCTACTACTACTACTAGTACTAGTAGTACTAGTACTACTACAACTACTACTACTAGTACTAGGTGAGTAGGTCCTATCTCTCGCGTAATATTGTGACTTCCATCTCAGAGTCGTTAGACTCAGAGTCACTTAATTGGACCATGAACTATATTAGTTATCCGGTTCGAGTACAGTACATTAATGAATAATTTAAAAGTGACCATCACCATCAATGGCATCAATCGCTGGTTCCTTCTTTTCGGCACTGTTTATCATGTGGTCGCTGAGCGTAGTAGGCCTACTACTAGTACTAGTACTACTACTACTACTAGTACTAGTACTAGTAGTAGTAGTAGAAGAACCCAGAGTAGAGGTTCCTTCACTAGTTTGATCCATGTCCACGCGGACGCTACCGAAAAAAATACGCACTAATGTAAAATAGAATGAAACGAGAATATTGTGCCTAGATTATGTAAGTGACAACATAGGCATACTAAAACGTTCTCAGATGTAAATTTCTCGTTTACTAATGCACAATAGTGACGTCATCACGCCATGGATCTGGTTCCGGGCCACGTCCGCTAAACATTAAAACATGTCTATCATGCAAACATAATTAAAGTTAAAAAAGAAATATATTTATATTAATAGGCACAAGTTTTACATTATAAAATGCAAATTTTTTATTTTAGTTGTGTCAAGCTCATGCTCTTTGCTTTTGACGGCGTAGATCTCGCGAGAAACCACGTTATTCTGTCACACGAGTGTTGCAATGGCGGAGTTTGATCTCACTACCCGTATGGGGCAATATTTGGACCGGCATTTGGTGTTTCCCTTGCTAGAATTTCTATCTGTAAAAGAGGTAAAGTAATTCGGAGATGCCTTATCTGATACCGCTTCTTTATTCGTACTTTTAAGTGTAAACCAACAGTTACGGACATTTGTTATTTTTCGTGACGGATTTTTTGGGGGGAATCGAACGGAAAAGACTAACGACGTGGATATTCGTCCGAGCATCGGACACCTGTTCGTATGCGCTATTCGTCCGAGCAGTTGTTGATGTAGCGTGCCGCAGGCCCACGGCCTCTAGTGCCGGAGATAGGAAGTGTGAAGGGGGGTGTGGGGGGTTTCCCCCCAGCCAATTTTAAAATCTAGACGCTTTAGGCTTTTTGCCTTGGTGGTAGGTTTAGATTGTGGTTAGTATTAGAGTTAGGTTAGAGTTAAATAATTAGTGGAATTAGTATTAGAGTTAGGTTGGAGAGTAGGCGGCTCCCTAGACTAGCATTATATTACATTTATGTAATACAACATGAACAGCGCATGCGCAGCAACTGCTCGGACGAATAGCGCATACGAACAGGTGTCCGATGCTCGGACGAATATCCACGTCCAAAGACTAATCCCCGGTAGCTCTAGTAACTATAGACCGAATAATTCTGTCCCATATAACCTTTTTTATATTTTGGTGATGGTTATTGGGACAGAACGGGGTTCATTGAAATTTCGTGAGAATCGCATGCAAAATGCAATGGCTGCCGATAGCTTAGTACCTGATAGCCCTGCGAATTGCTGCCGCAGTGGGGCTATAGCACATGAGCGCATAGCGTAATCTAAGCAAATGGTCGGACTGGTCTTAACAAACATTTCCAAATCCCAAAACGCAAAATGATCGGCTTCTTTTAAGCAACTTGTATCTATCACCATGGACATTCTCCACCTATCTTTTTGAAGCACTTTCCACAAACTTACAACCAGGGTATTTATGCCTGTTATCATCAAAGTAAGCCACTTATCGAAATAATTTCCAAATCATGTGCGTGCGCAACGCGTAGATTGTCACCTGGATATGTGGCAAAACAGCAAGGCCAGCGGTGCGTGACAAGGGTCATGTATTATTAACGGTGGGTGTTCCTGTTGTGCTCCAAGGCCGATGTGCGCACATTGGCGCATCAGGGCGAGGTTTATCCACACCCGGCCCGTTAAGACATACATGCACCCTGTTCACCAGCACCCGCTCGCCTTGCGTTTTGCCAACAATCCGGTGACCATAAACGCGTGCACGCCACATGATTTTGAAATATAATTTCATAATCTTACTTTGAGGAGATAACAGCATAAATACCTGGTGGATAAGTTGGAAAGTGTTCAAAAAATGGTGCAAGATGTCCATGTTGATAGTAAGTAAGTTAAAACCCGTCCATTCCTTGCGTTTGGGATAAATTTTTGTTAAGACCAGTCCGACATTCGCTTAGATTACAAGCTATGCGCTCAATGTGCTACTAGTCCTGCGCACAAGCCCCGACGGGCCTCATAGTACTACAGCTAGTGCTGCGAGATGCCGGCCCGTACGCCGCTATTGGCACGAAAAAAAAACCTACCGTCCCCTTCTTACATGGCTTTTACATAGATAAATAATGTAACCCAAGACGCCAAGAAGGATAGGTGTACAAAGTCTCCCTATCCTTTATCTGCGGCGGAATGCCCGAGTGATCACTCGGGCTGGTTTGGCTGGTGCGTTTTCAGAGACCTAGTAACTTCCAAAACGGGTTTATTCTCACACGAACCTTTTCCCCGCTATTTGGGAACTTACTAGTGTATCTCGCAATATCCCTTGTATTAAACTAATATAACCCTGTTACAAAATTCGAATGACGAGCGGGCGAATATCTGAGGCGCCATTTTCTGTTGACGCCTGTGACGTACAGCCTTTCCCAAATGCCGCATAGCCATCGCAAACGGGGCCAGCGCCCTCACGGATTGTCGGTTGAATCGCTACTGCAAACCGAAAGTACCGTCACAGGTCACCAGAAATGGCGCTCCCAGTATATTCGCCGCCTCGTACCTTCGAATTTTGTAACTAGGTTATATTAGTTTAATAGCAGAGTATTCGCGAACATAGTACGTTCAGATAGCGGAGAAAGGTTCGTGTTGCGAAATATAACCGTTTGGAATTCTAGTCTCTGAAACTGCACCCAGCAAACCCGGCCGAGTGATTCACTTGCCGGCATTCTACCGCAGGAAAAGGATAGGAGGCTGTTAACCCTATCCCCTGCCTCTGGTTGGGTTACATATTGTATCTAGGCTTACCTTGCTACTTGATAGTGTAACATCACTTCAAATCGTTATCACTCTTAAAGAGATTTTTTTTCAGAAACCCAGCTTCCAATTAATAATATTATTACAATTCACGTTCGCCGTTTTTTTACAACCAATCAGACCAATCAGCAGCGAGCTACTCAGCCCTCCTGCATCGCCACCAGATACAACACACGGCGAGACCAGGGCTATTTAAGCCTCATCGTGATTGGTTCCATTGTAATCAATGCATATTTGTCGCAATGTGCGATCATGTGCAATATGTTCAAATGACATGTTGGACAGCTGTTCTTACTACTCCTATGGGCGCGATCGTCGATTATAGATTGCATGCTGCGCGCAGCAAATGCAAATGCTTGGTAGTTGTTAACAGATTACCATGTCAATTGCAGTAAATCACACAAAAAGAAAAATGGTAGGTAAAAATAGCGTACTGGTTTCGGCATTTGTTTGTTCGCCGGGCTTCTTTGTAATTTTTTTTTTTTTTTTTTTTTTGTTTTATTTTTTTGTTTTTATCTTTTTTTTATTTTTTCTTTTTCTCTCTGTCACTACACTACAAACGACCTACCACTGTAGCACACAGGACGCTGGAACAGTGGTTGAACACCTCTAGGTCTCCAGTCTACAGGCTCTAGTAATAGGGGGCATGTCTCAGGAGATTGTCCCATGGGCTGGTCAATCCTGCAGTTCATTCGATTGAGGCACGCTTCATGTATCACCCATGCTTCTGCCATGAGTGGCCCCATGTCATCAACCACCCCTGTCTGACGTCGGATTTAGGTGCATAGCCAGGGTGCCATGCTCGGGCGTAACCAAAACAATGGTTTTGTTTCCGGTTACATTGATTTTTCAAGCTGACGGGTAGGCAAGGCCGGTAAAAATTTTTATTTTGCTAAAAAATTTAGGACTCATTTTCTTAACTTAACGGGCCGCTAGAGGGCCTAACCCTAGTGTTCCGTTTGTAAACATCGCGCAATGTTCGTACATTTCCTACTTTTATAGATGGAAGTAATTGCCCTGCATCCGGCAATGTGCAGGGTATGCTTCGTAATAAATTCATTCTTAAATGTATAGTTAAGGTCCAACGAACTGCATTTGTTTGATGTTCGTTTTAAAGTGGCAAAAATGTTTAGGGTGGCAACTATTTGAGGGTCGGTCGGTGAACCGGAAACAAAATTTTTTTTGGATTGGCTCGCTGTGGGAGGATTTGCTTGTTTGGTAGTAGTGTTGTAAATTCGTAATCGATCATCGTTGGACCCAAGAACCGATGAATCGGTTACATCGTACCGAGGTGTTGAATGGCCTGCATGTGCGTAACGTCGTGTGCATTGCTAGTGTGTTGCATGTATGTGCTGTTTTGGCCTAAAAAATATAAAAGATGAGTAGTGTTTCGCGAGAACGGTCTTGAAAAAATTAGGTTAGGCGTAGGTAGGGATATTTTTTATTTTATTTAATTTTTTTTTTTAATAAGCCGATTGTGTGTGCAATTTTCGAGCGACATATTAGCTACCAAGCGTTTCACTACCTAGTAGTAATACTGCGACAACGTTGTTCTATGACATTGTAAATAGCAGAATCGTCAGTGGAGTCCTGCCGCCTTGCATAAATAACGAGTGTTTCACCTGTAACTGCAGTGAACAGGGACATCAACAATACCGCCGATAAGAGATCGACGCTGTTCGAGCTGCGTAGACAACTGGGTTGTGATTGTTGGGTCAAAATACGTCGATATACATTGCATCTAACTGAAAATGTTTGCTTGTTTTTTGTTTTGTTTTTTATTGACATAATATCACATATTGACGTATCAGATTTTTTGATTTTTTTGATAAATTTTAATTGCTAGGTAGGGTCGGGTTCTCGGAAACACATCTTTTTTTTTTTAGGCCTTAGCCCTGTTTACCGTTTGTTTTGCACTGTTTACTACTGTGTGTATAATACATGTATGTTAAAATAAAGGATAACTTGTATAGTAGCAATGATATCTCTGATTCTCATCACTTTTCCAAGTTTTCTTCTTCAAGTTTTACATTTATTTAGATTTTTTTTTTTTTCCCTGATGAAATTGATTATAGATTTTGATAACCAAGCGCTTGGTTCGAGCCACTTTTCAACCGATGATCGATTATAATTGATGATCGTGACATCACTAGTTGGTAGTACTTGATACAACAAAATTTCTTGGCTACATGTAGATCTACGATGAGAAGGAACTATTGCGTGGCAAGCTGGATCTGCTTAGCAACACCAACATGGTGGATTTTGCAATGGATGTGCACAAGGGCTTGTACCCTGGCAATGACGTTCCAGCAGGTAACCTTACTCACAATGACAGTGTGGGATAAGAATGATAATTCATGAGAGTGGCTTGTGGTGGGGCGGCTTTCTATTAATTAGAAACATTTCAGTAGACGTAGTAACTCGTGTAATTCCATCTTTACGCAAATCGGCTGTTGATGTAAACCAGGTTGCAGGGTCTCGAAAGTTCACCTGGCAGCGAGGGATCTCACATGCCTAACCCTAATCACCTGTTCAGTGTGTGCGTGTATCAATGAAATGGTCAATATCAGTTGTAGGGGTGGTCGCATTTCCGTATGATCTGTTGTGCATTGCAGCATTAAAGGACAAGCGTGGTCAGGTGGTCGGTCAGCTGAAACAGCTGCAGGCCGAGACGGAGCCAATAGTAAAGGTGTTTGAAGACCCAGAGGTTACCAGGCAAATCCAGACGTCTCGGTACGCTAGCATCACAGTGCGGAAGGCTAATATTTCCTTACATTGCATCAGGGAAAAAATTAATTAATTTTTTTCCGAAGCTCTTTTTGCAAACCCCCCAAAATTTCGGGGGCTACTTTTTCATTTTCCAGGGCGACTTTTTTCCAGAAGCTCAGGGGTTTGAGAAAGCGGCCCGCGAGGCACGTGTGTATGGCTGTGCACGTCGACGCTGCGTACGTGCGTGCTGGCAGGGGCGGCATTGATTGAAGTAGGGGGGGGGGGCACGATTGTTTCAGCGTGGTACTAATCACTACTAAAATTGATACATAGTAAGTTCCCAGATAGCGGAGAAAGGTTCGTGTTGAGAATAAACCCAGTTTGGAAGTTCTAGTCTCTGAAAACGCACCAGCAAACCGGCCCGAGTGATTCACTCGGGCATTCCTCCGCAGAAAAGGATAGGGAGGCTTTGTAACCCTATCCTCTTGGGTTTGGGTTACATTATTGTATCTAGGCTTTACCTTGCTACTGATATGTGTATACATTCACTTCAATCGTTATTCACTTCTTAAAAGATTTTTTTTCAGAAACCCAGCTTCATTTAACTTTATTAAATTACGTTCGCCATTTACAAACAATCAGACCAATCAGAGCGAGTCTATCAGCCCTCCTGCAGCGCCACAGATACAAGCGAGAACCAGGGGCTATTGTAAGCCTCACTCTGATTGGTCTCATTGTATCAATGCATTTTCGCAATGTGCGACATGTGCAAATGTGCAAATGACATGTGGACAGCTGTTCTATCCTTGGGCCCGATCGTCCGATTATAGATTGCATGGTCTGCTGCAGCAAATGCCAAATGCTGTAGTTGTTAACAGATTGACCAATGTCATTGCAGTAAATCACACAAAAGAAAATGTAGGTAAAAATAGGTACTGTTTCGGCATTTGTTTGTTCTTCTTTTTCTTCTCTGGTCACTACACTACAAACGACCTAGCCACTGTAGCACACAGGACCTGGAACAGTGGTTGAAAACCTCTAGGTCTCCAAGTCTACAGGGCTCTAGTAATAGGGGGCATTCCAGGAGATGTCCCATGGTCTGGTCAATCCTGCAGTTGCATTCGATTGGGCAACCTTCAATGTATCCCCATTTCTGCATGAGTGCCCTGCATCGACCAACCCCTGTCCTGAAGCGATTTAGGCATAGCCAGGGTGGCCATGCTTCGGGCGTAACCAAAAAAAATGGTTTGTTTCCGGTTACATGATTTTTCAAACTAGGGTAGGCAGGCCGGTAAAATTTTTTATTTTGCTAAAAAAATTTAGGACTCATTTTGTCTTACTTAACGGCCGCTAGAGGGCCTACTCGCTAGTGGTTCCGTTTGTAAACATCGCGCAATGTTCGTACATTTCCTACTTTTATAGAGGTGAGTTAATTGCCTGCATGCCGCAATGTGCAGGGTTATGCTTCGTAATAAATTCATCTTAAATTTATATTAAAGGTCCAATCGATGCATTTGTTGATTTTCGTTTTTAAAAGTGGTCAAAAATGTTTAGGGTCGGCAACTATTTGGTAGGGTCGGTCGGGTAACCGGAAACAAACAATTTTTTTGGATTGGCTCCTGGTGGGAGGATTTGCTTGTTGGTAGTAGTGTTGTAATTTCGTAATCGATCATCGGTTGGACCCAAGTAACCGATGATCGGTTACAATCGGTTACTCGAGGTGTTGAATGCCTGCATGTGCGTAACGTCGTGTGCATGTACGTGTGTGCATGTATGTGCTTGTTTAGGCCTAAAAAAATAAATGATGTGTTTCCGAGAACGGTCTTGAAAAAATTAGGTAGGGTAGGTAGGGATATTTTTTATTTTATTTATTTTTTTTTTTAAATAAGCCGATTGATGTGTGCAATTTTTCGGACATATTACTACCAGCGTTTCACTACCAGTAGTATATACTGGACAACGTTGTTCCTATGACATTGTATACAGAATGTCAGTGGTCCTGCCGCTTGCATAAATCGAGTTTCACCTGTACTGCAGTGAACAGGGACATCAACAATACCGCCGATAAGAGATCGACGCTGTTCGAGCTGCGTATTGTTGGGTAAAATACGTCGATATATCATGTCATTCCTAAGCTGAAGACTGTTTGACTTGTTCTTTTGTTGTGGTTTTTTAGTCTGACATAATATCACATATTGACGTATCAAGATTTTGAATTTTTTTGGATAAATTTTAATTGCTAGGTAGGGTCGGCGTTCGTCGAAACACATCTTTTTTTTTGTAGGCGCTTAGCCCCTGTTTAGCCCGTTTGTTTTTGCACTGTTTACTACTGTGTGTATAATAGCATGTATTGTTAAAATAAAGGATAACTTGTATGATGTTAGCAATGATATGTCTGATTCTCATCCACTTTCCCAAGTTTCTTCTTCCCCAAGTTTACATTTATTTTAGGATTTTTTTTTTTTTCCCCGGCGATGAATATTGATTATAGAATTTTTTGATAAGCCAAGCGCCGTGTGGTTCTCGAGGCCACTTTTCAAACCCCCCGATGATTCGAGTATAATTGATGATGCGTGACATCAAACTAGTTGGCTAGTATTGAATAGCCAAACAAAATGTCTTGGCTACATTTTAGATCCTAGGCCCGATGAGAAGGAACCACTATTTGGCGTGGCAAGCTGGATCGCTTAGCAACACCAACACACCTGGTGGTAATTTTTGGCAATGGATGTGGCAACAAGGGCTTGTACCCCTGGCAATGACGTTCCAGCAGGTAACCTTACTCCACAGATGACTCGCTGGTGGGATAAGAATGATAATTCATGAGAGTGGGCTTGTGTGGCGCGGCTTTCTATTAATCTAGGAACCATCTTCAGTAGACGTAGTAAGCTCGTGTAATTCTCTGTTAACGCAAATCGGCTGTTTGATCGTCAACGCAGGTTGGCAGGTCCATCGAAAGTTCCACCCTGGCAGCGAGGGAGTCTGCCACATCCCCTAACCCTAATCACTGTTCAGTGTCGTGCGTGTATCAACTGAAATGGTCAATCTCAGTTGTAGGGTGTCCGCATTCGGCGTATGATCTCGTTGGTGGGCCATTGCAGCATTAAAAGACCAACGTGTGCCGGTGGTCGGGTCCGTCTGAAACAGCTGCCAAGGCGCGCCGCCGCGCCGAGACGGAGCCAATAAGTAAAGGTGTTTGAAGAACCCCAGGAGGTTACCATCAGGCAAATCCCAGGACGTCTGGGTAACGCTAGCACAACAGTGCGGGAAGGCTAATCATTCCTAACATTGCATCAGGGAAAAAAGTAATTAATTTTTTTTCCGAAGCGTCTTTGCAGAAACCCCCGCACCAAATTTCGGGCTACCTTTGTTCATTTTCCAGGGTCGACTTTTTTTTCCAGAAGGCTCCAGGGGTGTTGAGAAAGCGCCCGCGAGCCCACGGTGTGTAATGGCCTGTGGCACGCGACGCCTGCGATAGCGTGCGTGCCTTGGGCAGGGGCGAATTGATTTGAAAGTAGGGGGGGGGGGCAACGATTCGTTTCAGGGCGTGGTCCTATTTCACAGCGTGGTACTAATCACTACTAAAATGTAGAGGGTTGGCATTGCTGGACTATGAGAGAGCGACAGCAAAACTTTTTTGGGGAAAATTGACAATCGAAGCTACAATCGGGAATGACACACGAGTGTGCCGGCAGGGAAAAATATACGTGTGAATTTCATTAGGATTTTTCATGGATTACCGTTCTATAATCCTACGGGTCGTTGGTCCTACGGGTCTACGTAGGCACGCCCGCAGGCACACACGCACGCATGCAAGCACGCACGCGCACACATGCACGCGCGCATCCACACACGCAAGCACGCCCGCAGGCACACCGGCACACACAGGCACGCACGCAGGCACACACGCAAGCACGCCCGCAGGCACACCGTCACGCACGCACGCAGGCACACACGCAAGCACGCCCGCAGGCACACCGTCAGCACGCACGCAGGCACACACGCAAGCACACGCACAGGCACACAGCCACACACGTATATACACGCGGGTGGCGGCGCGTGCTTGATTGAATCAAGAGTAGATAATATAACATCCGTGCAAGATTACGATTTACAGCAATACGCTAGCATATAAACGTATATGTAAACGAATATCAGTACCACGAAGGTGAATGATTAGTGGTCATAATAAGCTGAGGCAGGGCTCGAATTAACCGACGGCACCGACGGCAATTGCCGTCGGTGCCCCTATCAATCGCCGTACTGCCCCTGAAAATCCAACCCGACCGACGGCAGTGACCTGCCTTGCCCTTTTCTGTAATTTCCGTCAGTGCCTCTGGCTAGACTGGTTCGCGGCCGCACTGTTTGTCGCAGAGCGTGTACATTGTCTAGCAGAGCGTGAGGCCGGATACCAGTCTACCCTTCGGCAAAAACAATAATGTGGCTTGCTGCCAACTGCTGCCAGTAGACGATCGATAAATCGTGCGCCTGTGTATGCCCGTGGTAGAACACGAATATTTAAATGCTGCACGTGGACTCGGCCCGCGCGCGATTTAAAGCGCGGGAAACGACGCTCGCGTAAGATTGGCCAGCTGTGATCTGTACGGTGTGTAGCTTGCTAAGTGCAGTAAATTATGTTAAACTGGGCCTACTATTTTGTACATTAAAAGCAAGACGATGTTGATGTATTAATTTGTTAAATGAGCTTTCCTTTATTTTACAAAAGTGCCTTGGTGCCCTTCTCAAATTGTGAGAGTTGCCTTGATGCCCTTTAAAATTGCCTCGGTGCCCATCCATTTTAGAGAAAATTCAAGGCAATTTCTTACATGCCCCCAAAAAATTGCCTTTCCCCTCTCATCGCTTAATTCGAGGCCTGAGCTGAGGAACGTATAGACTTGCTTCTTTATTGGTGGCAAATTTTGATGAAAAAAATCGGTTAAAAATGTGGGGATCGGGTGTCTCCCTCTTGTTATATTATCTACTCTTGATTGAATGCAATACAGTACAGTACACACATGCATGCTTAAATGGTAAACCTTGACAGTCACACCGTACCATGAATTCTACCGCGCCGTGGAACCGGCTGCCGCTAGCGGCATAGGCCTAGGCATCGCAGCACAGCAACGCCGAGCGAGAGCGGGACCGACCTGGACAATCGATTTCCAGGGCGACTTTTTCTTTTGGGGTCGCCCCTGATATCATGTTTTCGGGGGCTCTTTTTGGCATTTCGGGGGCGAAATCGCCCGCCGCCCCGTGTATTTTTTCCCCTGCATTGCATCATAGAAAAGTAAATAGAAGTGGAAATTGATGAGTATTAAAAAATAACCATATCTAAAAATAATATTAATATGAGGATCATCCATTTTTAGCTCACCTTGACATCGTCAAGCTGAGCTATTGCCATGGGTCGTCGTCCGTCGTACGTCCGTCCGTCCGTCAACATTTCGCTACGGTCAACGATAACTCGGGAACCATTTGGCCCACATATTTGAAATTGGGTATAGTTGTTACTGCTATGCTCCCATATTTAACGTCCTATTTTGAAGCACGCCAGTCGACGTACTTTCGAGCCACGGCAATTTTTTGGCAAAAATGGGAATTGTCATTAGTCAGTTCAGGTTCAACGGATTTTGCTCATTTTTGGTATGTGTTTCATAATTCAAATTATGCAAATTAGGTAGGGTTTGGCAATTATATAGCATATTATATAGACACAAACAGTCTGTGGTGTCACACTTGTCGGGTTTGTTTTACAAGATTTCATTGACAATATCTTTAATGCAAAATTGGTATTTCCTGTCCACCCTGCCGATAAAACGTCTACATTAGAGTAAAGTTTTACAAAACATGTCGGAACGCAGCATAACCTATTTATTTCAAACGCCATCGCTACAAAGCGGTCACGCCACGGACATCTACGGTCACAAATTGTGATTCATTTTGGTTTATAAATTATTATTGCGATATACAGATGGCAATCGTTTCTATAATGTACGTCGATGGTTGCTCAATTAAAACTGACTTCTTCTTACTCACTCATTTGTGTCCTTTTTTGTGGTGAGCTACAGTGTGATTGACACTTTCATTCTAGATAATGCTTTATATGTATGATATCAGATGATTTTTCCTTTGCAGAGATGGGCGACAATTGTTTGATTACCTATCAAAGAACCATGGGGTAAGGAATATATCTACCGTATTGGAAATGCTATGTAATTGCCATCATTTTAATCTCTAAGTTCAAAACTCTTGATGCTCGTTTGACATTTGCCTGTTCTGTTCACAGTTCAAATCGTCTTGGCTGGATACCTTATATCAATTCGCGAAGTTCCAGTACGAGTGCGGAAATTACTCAGGTGCTGCTGAGTATCTAGACTTCTACAGAGTTCTAGTATGTAAATGGCGACGTGCATGCTGCTCACACTATGAACTGGAATAGACGGATAAAACACAGACTCTTCACGAAAATGGTGCAAAACGCACGGGCTATTATGGAGCTATTATGGGCTATTATGGAGCTAATACAATCCGTAGCAAAATACACGGATTCCTAAAACTACAGACTTCTAAGAGACTGCCAATGAAGAATGATCTAATCTCGGAGAGTCCGTGTTTATTACGGACATAGTACATGAATTTTCCAGCTAGCGTGGCGCCTGCACACCAGCAGCAGGAGTTTTCAAGCAGCAGAATGTTAGCAGGTGCTGGCGCTTGCTACGAACTGTAATTAGCTCCGTATTAGTCCGTGGCTCTCAGAGCATTTTGCACAATATTCGCGATTAGTCTGTGTTTTATCTGTATATTCCAGTTCATGGTGTCAGTGAAACAATTGTGTCGATGAAAGCCAGTGTTTCACCTGGTATATGATAAGCTCTTGCATTGCTGATGATATCATCCGCCTCATATTTACCAAAATTGCCGCTGCACTGCTGGTGCGTTTACTGTGGTCGTGGGGATGCTTTCGGTGACACCATCTTTTTCTGTAAAGGCTCCGGGACACGACAAGAACTACCTGCCAGCATTATGGGGAAAACTCGCCTCGGAAATCCTTATGCAAAACTGGGACAATGCCCTGGAGGATCTAAACCGACTTAAGGACATCATCGACTCTAACGTGAGTACTGACTGGCAGCGGGCACACGGTCATACGCGTTCCATGGCGGTCAACGCTTTCAGAGATTGATTCCGCGCTTGCACCTCGTTCCATTGGTTCATCGCCATTCGTTCTTACACGTATCGCTGAGCCCTGATGATTCCAGCTATGCTGGGTTAATTCACAGAGAGAAGCACTAAAAATCTGTAGCATAGCATTCCAGCCAGCCATTGATCGAACTGCTCGGTAGGGTTGTAACGATTCACATACATCTCTATTTGATCCGTATCTCGATATTTGCGTTCGATATTGATCTTCGATTCGATTCTTACAATATTGAAATGTTATCTTATTTTGTATATTTTCAATCACTTTGAGCAGATAATTAAAATAACAACAGTATTAGGTCAAATGACTAGATATTAGGCCACCATTTTTGATTTTGTTGGTTTACAGAATTTTTGTTGTTGTTGTTGACTCGGTAGGGTAAAAAAAAAAAATGTTGTTTTGTCAGATCAAACAAGTCAAAATACAGTGATACTGTTATACATAATATTAAAGTATTTTAAGAAAACTAAATGAAAACAAAACTCAACTTGTAATTATTTTTACTTTTATTATAAACTATTTGTTTATGAAATGTTTTTGTTTATTACATTTAAATTTTTTTTATTCATATTTCTTAGAGAAAAGGTTGGCGGGAATAAAAAAATACAGATTTTCAATTTGTATTTTTTTTCGTTTTTCTTGAAAATTCGGGTCGGCAGATCTGTAAACCAACAAAATAAAAAATTCTCGCCTTATGGGAAATTACTATTAAATACTAAATGGTGAATAGACTAGAGACCCACTTGTTTATCAAATATTATCTTAAGTAAGTGGACACTAAGTCAAAGAACAGAAAATGCAGCTGACTAAGTCAGTATATAGTCACAATTACCCTAAGATTCAAACAGAAATGATTAAGTGTCAAATACCACATCGTTTCAGCGGCCATTTCTGCATACATGATGCCATCCGTAGGGAGTAATAATAACATTTTCTATGGTATATAATACGGTATATATTTTCTATGTACGGATTTGTCAGCTTTTGATCTGTTGGTTTATGAAATAACAAATCCGTGCAGATTAGTCATCAAATTCGGGAAACTCGAGCCATGTAATAGTAAACACTGTGTCAGCGATGTGCTGTAGCTGCTGATTAGCTGACTGGCGAGTCGTGACTATTGTCCAATCAGAGCACACATCTCATACACACTTCGCCACAATAATACAATAAAAATTGAAGCGGGTTTTGATCGAATCGAAAAATATGGGAAAAAATATTGAGGATCGGATCGAGGGAAGATAATCGCGATTCGATTCGATTTCGGCGGATCGTTACAGCCCTACTACTTGGCAGTCTTAAGCTCACGTGCCGGCCTTTAATCACAGAGGCGTTAATCTTGTTAAGGCCATTGTTGCTCATTAGTGGTGGCTACATGATGATGACCCATGCTTGTCTTGCAGACGTTTGGGTCGGCTCTGCAGTCACTGCAGCAGCGCACGTGGCTTGTGCACTGGAGTCTGTTTGTCTTCTTCAACCACCCGAAGGGACGCGACCTCATCATTGATATGTTCCTCTACCAGAGCCAGTGAGTATGCCATACAATGTCCGGTTCTGTTGAGTGTAATTCTTCCCCCCCCCTCCCGTAGGGATAGGGTGTGGTCTGTTCAGTGAGAAGAAGATTGGAAGTAAGGGGCCTGTCACAGAAATGTGAGGTCAAATCTGCGTAGAACCTCTGTAGCACACCTCTATAGAATGGATACCTGACTATAAAGCATGTATTTAGCATTTACCTTGAGTGGCATTTATGTAGTAAACACATCTATCAAAGATGCCTTTGGCATTTTTCATGTATTGCATTTAACAGGTGAACCCACTTCTATGGATTGAACACCTATGCCACTTGAATGACTCATATATAAATTTGACTATAAGTATAACGGCGAATTGTGACAGCTATTATCGTGCAGATAAGTTTAGAAGATAATCATATGCCTATATTTAAGATTACCTATAAACAAGTCATCTGTGAAAGTTCATGTCACTTGTAGAGAAGCGTTTCTTAATGTCATGCTGTCATGCAGGTATTTGAATGCCATCCAAACAATGTGCCCTCACATTTTGCGATACCTCACGACGGCCGTGATCACGAACAAGCGCAGACGAACTGTTCTCAAAGACTTGGTGAAAGTAATCCAACAGGCAAGTGTTTGTTAATTTCACTGTACCCGGGTGTTCTCCACGGTGCCTTTACCCGACTGTTTCTCTACAGGGTAAAAAATGCTGTCTTTTTTTTCATGCCACGTGTTCGCTCATTTGCATTGTTACAGGAGTCGTATACATACAGGGATCCAATCACCGAGTTCCTGGAATGCCTCTATGTGAACTTTGACTTTGATGGAGCGCAGGAGAAGCTGAGGAAGTGCGAAAGCGTACGTTCATCTACATACTTTAGCTATATATAGATACGTAGATAGATAGATGATAGGTTTATTGCATGATATTTATTTAAACAGTTATTTTCAATTCTAACACTGGCAGTGGTAATGTATACACTATACCACACTTGGCGCTTGGAATTGTTGCGTTGATCAGGGTCAGGGTCAATCAGGGTCATTTGCTGAATAGGGTCATGATCCTGATCTTAACTCTAAACAGTAATCATTAGTTTTTTTATTTGAATCGGACGTGATCCTAGGTTCCTTACGCTAGGGCTGTCATCGATACCCACCTCATCGATGAATCGCGATGGATTTGCGTCCGATATCGATATATCGAAATAAAACGAAAAATAGCAACCTGATACACGACCTGCATGCTACCCAGGCCTGCACAATGCGCTGAAACGTACATGTCTAGACGCATTGTCTGGCTTGCTTGATACCAGCCTAAAAATTACTTTTTTTTTTACGAGAGTTCTTTTTTGATTTTGTATGAAAAAAAGAGCTCTCGTAATTTTTGTTACGAGAGCTATTTTAGGCTTGGTCAGAGCTACTTTTTCATAGCATGATTTTGTTAAAATTTTCATAATTTGGATGCACGGACTCTAATAATGTCTCAGAAGCCAGAAATTTTGTCTAATTATCGTAAAGGTGTTTCTCAAACGAAAGTCAAGATTATGCTTTGGCGAAATCGACGAGGTCAACAATCATTCATAATGGTGACAAAATCACGGAGGCTGGGTTTACATGTTGCTGTATGCATGTTGTGTACAAAGTATGACTGCATGCACTGATTGTCTCATTCGCATTATTTTTATCATTCAAATCTCGTCGCAGCAAGGCAGCTTATGTTTGTGCAAAACAATGCAAGGGACGGGTGGAAACAGAAAAATCTCATTATGTCTAGCCATTCAATAAAAAAAACTTGCTTGCCCGAACAGGCAAGTGCAATTTCAAGCTACTTGCCTGGGGGCGAATTTTGGTTGCCCCGGGCCATCGGGCAAGCGGGTTTGTCGAGCCCGGCACCGCAGGGATTGATTTTCGGCTGAAAATCTAGTGGACAGAAATCTATCTTCAGAAAGTTGGTGGACCTGCACAAAAATTTGGTGGTCCGCTTAGTTACAAGCAGTGTGTAACAAAATAGTATATAAAGATAACCATTGGCATTAAAACAGCATACATGTAACTTAATTAGAGTTGATAAAATAATGTTTCAATCTCTAGGAATGTCGGGGGAGCTTCTGGGTAAGGTTTTACTTTCGTTTTTCTCCTCCCCAGTCCTCGGTACCCCTATGACTGATATAGGAGTCGTATACTACTATAGACTACTATATATATACTACGATAGATATATATATATGCATAGATCAATGCTGCCGCACATCCGCAAAGTTACAAGTGCCTAGAATCTTTAAGTATATACAGTTTACATTGCTTCTAGATATCTAACTGAATAAAAACAGTCCACTTTCTACGTTAAGAAAAGTGATGAATTCAGTTAACAGCTTTGATTACGTGCGTGTCAGGTGTCACTGGTCGTGCCCTCACTCCCCACGATAACCCCAGCGTGATATGAGGGGAAAAAGTGCCGGTCAGGAGGACCGGCAGTTTCGTAAAGATGGTGGCCCGAGCAAAAACTTAGTGGGCTCGGGCCTCCGGGTCGGAACTAATTTCGAACGCTGCCGGCGGCATGGGAGCGATTTTTTCTCGTATCTTCCAAAATTTTCACTCGTAATTGTTGTTACCAGAGCGCTTTGAAAGCTGACGGGAGCGAAATCGCTCGCCGCTCCCGTGTATTTTTTTCGCTGATTACAATGTATAACATCACGTTTATGTACATGTATAGCTGGCCTGAGCCCACCCTGATTATTATCGCCACGCTTGTACTATGCCCGCTGTATTATGCTAGTGTGGCGTATGGATACATCATGCTAGCAGCGAGACTGATGAGAATCAGGATGCCTGAGCCTGTTCAGATCGTGCGCACTCGCTCAGATGCGCTGCCTTATAAAGTTGATAACTCAGCAACCACTATCCCGATTTTGACGATTTTGTATTACTATCAAGGTGGGATATCAAGCATTGGAAATCTGGCATCCAACCCAAAAATCTACTATCCCGCAGATATCGGGATACCACTAATTTCGACCCCTGTAAAATATTGTTTCCGTCACTACATACGATATTTTTTATTATATACATACTTCATACACTAGAAATCTTTTTGAGATTTCATATGCCTGCCTGATAAAAGGTTATGCGTTTTTCATTCAGGTCCAGGAAAGAAAGAGAAGTCGTGTGTCATTGTGTGGGAATATTTTGTGGGAATACATTGTGTGGGAAAATGTTTGGTTTTCCCAAGACAGGGGATGGGGCAGTTGACAGATCGAAAGTCGTCTGTGAACTGTGTAATGAGATAAAAATATATAACAGGCTTATAATATTGTAGTGCGTACATTCCCATACAAAACCATAAAACACACCTACAATGCTACAAATAACAACAAAAAACATCATCCATCTTTTGCTACATCATGTGTTATTACATATTAAATCGAATCGGATCAAATCGGATCTAAATATCGAAAACAAAAATATCAATAATCGAATCGAATTAATTTCATACCAATTACCTTACCTTACGCTACATAAAAACTTGATTATTCACCATTCATTAGACATGGTTAAAAAAGAAGTTTTAAAACTGATGGCTATACTGTTCCTTTCAATGACAGTGGCGCCACTACAAGCCCATCCACTGACAAAGCAACTTTTCGGCTGCAAGCTACAGACTGAGTGTTTCTTATTTATTACTTTAAGAGGAGAAGGATTGCAATAACTTATAAGCCACTCTTAGTTTCAGTTATAATATGAACGAATTTGTACGAAAATAAAAACGTTTAGTTAAGGATACTCTCAAGGTTTTAGGCAAAATTTTACCGATTTTTCATTTTCAACTTTATTCGATGGCTAACACTATGTGCCACCTCTATATATATGCTCATTTCTCCATATAACAATACACGTGAACTTTTAGAGCGTTTTGATTGCCCGCGTACACGTGTTGTGAGCAGCAGCTGACGTCACTGATGCAGAGATGCCAACCTACGATTTATCCATATTTTATGCGAATTTCGTTTGCATTTTGACCACTACAACCAGTTTGCATACAACTACGATTTTTATTACGATCGAAAAAAATAATTTTGATGATATTTCAAGTGTTTTGTTTCAGTGTTACATTGATATAACACGATTGAAAATAACTACATGTATTTAGCAGCAAATATCAGTGTGAACCTATTGTCATTTTGGGTCCCAGAATGCAGGAAATTGCATCTTGGAATCAAAAATTTTCCGGGGGGCATGCCCCGAACCCCCCTAGCATACTCGGGTCACTGCGTGACCCTCGGACTACAGATTTCAGACATCCTCACTACAGTTTGCTCAGAAAAGTGTTGGCATCTCTGCTGATGACATCAGAGACATGATACAACCAGAATTTTCATGATATTCTCTAAGCCAATATCATTCAGCATCAACCCTCCTGCAGCTGTCATCTGCCAGTGATGCTGATAGGGTCTATGTCTCCCTGGGTACTGCCGGAACGGATAGTTGAAATTAACGCGCGACCGAAAATAGCCCCGTTTCCCTTGTTACACACCTTGAATTTATGTTTGTGTTTGTTGACACATAGCTGCATAACGCTCATAGGGTCTATGTCCCCCAGGGTACTGCCGGAACGTACCCTGGTAACTATCTGATAGGGTTAGAGTTGGGGAGTAGGCGTAGGCGACTCCCTAGACTCGTTAGTGGAGTAGGCGAGGTACGGTCCGGCATATTAGATAGTACCAGTAGTGCGGTGGTAACCTCGTAATTTCTCACAATTTCTCAAGGTGCATAGAACATATTACCAATTTAGTGGTGTCAGTTAGTCATGGATATGTCACAGCAAGTACTAACAGTAGATGTTTCACATACGTTCACCTATTTTGCACACAGGCGGTCGATCATTGTGAAAAATAGAAAAACGCTGATTTCTCCATTTCGATTTCTGACATAGTAGCCGATGTATAAATGGATATTTCTCTGTGATTACAACTCGGATTAATTTAATTTTACACTCGTTTTAATGGTAACATATTGCTGTAAAAAAGCGTGTCAGAGATTGTTATTAAGTGCCGTATTTTATTAGTTATGCCTCTTTATTCGCTAAAATTTTCAATTCTAACAACTTGATTTTTAAGCAGTTTTTTTCATTTTTCTCAGTAAATATGAAACTTAAAGAAAAATCCTGATGCGCTATTTTGGTAAATATTGTGCTTAACCTGTGGCGAAAATTTTGCTTCCTCACTCTGTGGTAATTGAGAAATATCCAAAATACCATTTTTACATAAAAATTCAAAATTTGTGTGGTAACATAATTAGGTGCTGGAAATTTGATGAAATTTTTTGGCTTGAGCATAAAGATATATCTCCTCTATAAATAAAACGTGTGATTGATTAGATTCATTTGTCAATAAACGTTTAATCTTCATTAGAGCAATACCCGTGCAAAAGGTGGAGAGTATGGAGGTGGATAGCAGTTTGGTATAAATATAATTGCACTTTGATGATTAGCCCTCGGTCTGTAACGTGCAAAACAAAATCGGCAGAAGTGCAACTTTATCAGGGTGGCACCACAGTCGCGTGGTGTCATGTCAGTGTTCAATAATAAGATTTCGAAACTCACTGTAGTTTTATGATGAATTTGAATGTGTGATTATAAAAATGTGTAGGTATATATTATTATTTATTCCCTCACTATCATTATATACTCTTAAATTCTCGGGTATAATAGCATCCATTTCATACTAATCCAAGTACTTCCAGTTCTAGCCATGTACTTGCACTCATCTTAAAATAAAATTACTACTTGAATTATCGTGAAGTTCGATAAACTTATTCCGAATGGTAATCTATAGTAATTACAGTAACTGACGATTATTAATGATGGTTGCTAGTCAGTGATGTAGTATGGATTCGGTGTCTTGTCCGCAGGTTCTCATAAACGACTTCTTCCTCGTCGCCTGCTTGGACGACTTTATAGAGAATGCACGTCTTTTCATCTTCGAGACATTCTGTAGAATCCACCAGTGCATCAGTATCAAGTGAGAATGAAACCTTAATACACACCCCACACCTTTACACTCGTCTCTATTTTACTGGCGAGGTAGAATGTGTAAGGTGGTACAAAACATCTTAATGGGGGGGGGGTGAACAGATTTCTTCGTGTTGGTTTTGCGCACAGCAATTGCATCCGTACATACGATCGGTTAATATTTTTGGTAGACACTTGGTATTCTTCACAGACTTATTTCGCCATGTTACTTTTGTGTGTGTGATCATTTAGTTTCCAACCGATGCTTGGTTGATTACGGACTCTTAACCCGTACGTGTGTTGGGCAGGATGCTGGCAGAGAAGTTGAACATGACTCCTGAAGAGGCCGAGCGGTGGATCGTAAACCTGATCAGAAACGCGCGGTTAGATGCGAAGATCGACTCCAAGCTGGTGAGTGTAATGATGTAACGCTATGACGTACACGAGAGTGTACGAGATTCTACGAGAGACTCGCTCTCTCTGCTACATGTGCTTGGAAGCGTGAGCTGTGTTTGAGGATGGCTCCTCAGAACAATAAATATTATACCAACTAACAACATGTGTTGATCCATAATATTACAGTGAGTGCTGCCACCTAATCTCGGCGCATAGAATCGAGCAAAACGTAGCTTATGCTTGCAGCATGTTGCCACCTAGCTTGATATATGAGAAACTTGGGACACCTCGGTCGTTAGAACGAAGGAAGATGTGAAATGTGAAGCATGCTGATCTTGATGAACTAGAATACTTTCAGGTGTTTTAGATGATAGCATCAAATAGACGTTCATACTCTTGAACTGCTTAGTGCAAGTCCGAATGAATGAATGTACAAATATCATTGTGTGCTTATCATACATATCATTAGCAGTGGATTCGTGCAAAGGTGTGGTGTGTCATGTCTTATGGTCGGATTTTGTTTTTTAAGGGTCACGTGGTGATGGGCGCTCAGGCTGTGTCCCCATACCAGCAGGTGATCGAAAAGACAAAGTCGCTGTCATTCCGTTCGCAACTGCTAGCCATGAATATCGAGAAAAAACTAGGAGCGAAGACTCAAGAAGGAGTAAGTCATACATTGGCAAGCAGATTGATTCTCTTGACTGCCGGCATTTTACCAACGTTCACGTTTACATGGCCATGAGATTTCACACGCGTAGCAGTTCACCAGGTTTCTAACAGAGGAGGAATGTTGATCGAGCTTTTCCTAACATCATTCGTCAAACAGAGTGCATCGGTTGTTTTGCTAACCGCATACATTTGTTTTCGTTTATCTCCAGGTGCCACAATGGGGCGAGTAGTCATTCTTACATCTACAACAGATCACTCTCCACATCATAGAGTACAGTCTGTACAAAGAAGCGAACACTTCCTTCCACCTTTAATGTAATCCGCCGCAATGGAAAAGTGGTTAATAGAATTATGGGCATTTCCGAATTTTACCCATGTGTTGCGTATTCCTGTCGGTTTGTCTCACCCGCACGGCGGCACTTCGAATTCCACGGTACATGAAGGAATGTGTCATAACAGCAGTAGCTTCATAGTCAATTTATTATTAAGCCAAAGTACCGTGCAATTACAGAAGACTCGATAGCGATGTGGACTAGAACATCAGGCCCTTTCGTAATCACACCACTCCAATTTATCTTGCGCATCTATATCGCATTTCACACATTTCCGTCACGATTTGAGTTTTGCCAAAAATGCACTAATCAGTTAACTGGGATATTTTGTCTGTAAATCTGGGACATAATGGAGAAAATGATCAGGCTTCAACGTGTGTCCTGTTCCACTGATGGCTTCACCAGAATAAGTCGCATTTTATATTATATACCTAATTTTGGAATCACTTTCCCGCAATCGTTAACACGTTGAACACATCTCATCTTAGTTACGAGTAGTTTTCCGGTGCTACCATCTAGTGTCAAAAACAATAGTTTTAGCACAGTCATTGGTTGAGCACTAATAACTTCGTGCTGCTATACAAGATAACATATAGCAAGAGTGCAGTTAATAATATTACTCTAAAACTCAACTGCTATTGCACCCTAAGAAAACTTAAAATGCCAAGCATAAAAGATTTCATCCTGTACACAATTCTGGTAAAGTACCAGCAACAATATATATTAGCGCCCATCATAAGCAACTAAAAATCACAGATGTTCCTACCAGGTTCGTAATAATCCATACATCGTCCCTGACCTTCGGGGTAATATAAACTACATATAAAACATCACAAGCCGCTGCCAAGCCTGTAAACTGCATTCCACATCCGGATGGCAAGCGCGATATACGCATTGCACTCTGACACAGTGTCCACATGAGAACCGCGTTTTGCAAATGCAATTAATTATAATAGACACTACGAACTGGAATAAACGGATGAAACACAGACTAAACATGCAAATTATGCAAAACACGAAGAGCCACGGACTATTACGGACCGTTGCAAAATACATGGACTGCCACGGACTGCTAAGGACTACCTGTTAACAATCACCTAATCTCGAGAGTCCGTGATTATTATATTCATAGTACGTGAATTTCCCGCGAGCTGGGCACCTGCATACATGCAGCAGGAGCTTTTGAAGCAGCCGAATGTGAACAGGTCGTACAGTCGTAGTAGTGTTAGTTAGATTAATCCGTGTTTTATCCGTTTATAGTGACAGTTACCGTGTTCATAGGGAGAGGTTTCCTAGTGTCTGTCTTACAGTACACTGTACCGTCTCGTCCACGCACATGCACACTTTCTCTCTCCCTCTCTCCCTTCCCCTCTCACCCTCTGTCTCTCTCCCACTATGTGCAACCTCAAATCATAGGAGGCTCTCTGCACTTGGGCTTGTATTACCGAGCCAGGTTGCAAACCGTAATGCAGATCAAGGATATCTGTTGGTTGTGAATGGACGTGTACAAAACTGAGATTCGTGTATACTGGAAGTATGTGTGTACTTGTAATGCAGTAGCCGTGCACGTATGAGCGATCAGGAAAACAACGTTGTAAGGTGAGAACTTGTTCACATAGCTGTACTGCAGCACACCTGGCGCTGCGAGTGTACACTACGCCATGCGGTGAAACTGATGCCGCAGCATCCGCCATCACGGCGTGTTGTCCCAGGAATGTTGCCAGGAACAGTGTACAGGCCTAAGGCAACACTACCAGTACTATACCGGCAGAGCTACACGTACCCTCAATAATACTGGCATGCATAAATGTGACAATCGGGGGGCCGGGAGAGCACCTGATGAAATTTTAGTGTCTACGACAGCGTTTGCCGTGTAACGAACCCCGAATTCTTGCTCAAACTCACACTGCTCACGGCCACAAATAACAGTCATGCCCGATTTACCTATAGGCACATGAAATTAAAAAAAGCACCTTCAAAGGGGGGCACTAGGCGATATACAGTGTCTCCCTTTTCATGATATTCCGAATTCGTGAGATGAACGTCCGTCTCCCACGCAACTTCCTTTCACACGCTCTATAATATATGTATATCTCGGAAAGAATCCAGCCCTGTTACTAAGCAACGAGACACGATTCACTGAACGAACTGACAACAAAAAGGCATATGGCGACCGTATAGGATGCATAAATTTACATCTAGATACGATACGAGCCGTCAATCCGAGCCCCCACCCCCGTCTCGACTCTTAAATATAGATAAATACACCTATGATTACGGTATAGGTTAATATGGACCTTAAATACTAACGAGACACACTGACACGATTTTTTTCATTTTACTTTTTTCTTGGCATCTGCCTTCCTACCAGCTGTGCAACGTGTACTCGCGCTGGGAATGGGGCCGTGTTTGCCTGGGGAGCGTGGGGCAATCAGATGAATACATTGCGAACTGGGAAGATCCTTGTAACAAACTCTTGGGGACTAAAATGGAACCTCGGAGTTTTTACCCGCCCAGCAACACAAGCTGAGGATCGACGAACACGAGCAACGCATACGTTGGAGCGTCGACTCGAAGCAAAACAAGTGAACGTCGGTGCACGGATAGCTGCCGTTTCTGGGTGGCAGACTTCATTCCCAACGCGAGTCACTCATCGAAATTTAATGCTCCCTAAACACTAAGCTTGGTGCCAAATGGCAATAAATTACAGCATGCACCATTGCGTGCAGTAATACTGAGTTACCGACACTCCCATCTCACGATCCCATCTCACGTTTGTTAATGTCCTCCGCCCGCGTGCTCAGGTCTTACCTTGCCCGCTGTCACAATCAGTTAATAAATAGTGAATAACATACTCATAGTAAACTAGGGGGAGTAACATAGGCATGAATAATATAGTAACAATAAGTTATATAGCTGCTATAGTCGTGACGATTTTCGAGTCAGTGTAGCGCAGAAATGAAATGTGAGATAATAGATGTGTCGTCGTTGCTCACCCCTTCACGACGTTACACAAGCCGACACTGGTGCAATAATACACGCGTGCAAAAAACCACAAGGTGGCGCCACCAGTGTTGTAAAAGCCTGCACTGCATCCGCTGCAATAGAAAACCAGTTGGTGAGGATGCTGCTTGCACCTCTGCCAACAGCTGTCAACCCATCCCACCACCTTTAGGATGATAACCCCACCCACATGCTATTTCCCAACGATACCCCTTCGCAATACCCCACCCTATGCCATTCCTGATACCTCACTCCACTCCATTCTCAGACAACACTGTGATGACAAATGCGGGAGAGAGTGAAGAGAAAGAATCCATTCCAACTCCGCCTTTTCCTATTACGCGGGCGACGCTGCTGAAGTGATTTATATATATATGAGTGAATGTGTAGAAGTGTGTCCAAAACACGTACTTTACATTTTGTAACCAATTCTGATGACAAATAGGAAAGGAGTGGGTTGCCATACAGGAGCATCACCCCACAGAGAGAGTTGAGCACTGCACCAGCCATAGCAGATTTACAGTAAGCAAGCACCGGTAAATGACCACCGGGATGAGTGGAAGAGTGCGAAGGTGAACGTCCCACAGAAGCACCGAGCCATTTACCAGCCATAGTTGCAAGCCAGCACAGAAGCGACTGAAATATACCACTGTAATGGGCCTCAGAATGAACGAACTCGATTTTTAATTTCCTGTCAGCGCATGTATTTATATGCTGTGGTCGTTGAACGTACGACCAGACAAAGACGGTCCAACATTGTGCAATGTCTATGGAGCGAAGCAGGCAGCTACATTGATGTGTGCACATGTACATCACAGCCACGACAATGGAAGTTATGCGTGTAAAAGATAAATAACGCTTTGGGGTTGGGATGCGGTCGCCATGATGACTGCCGACGATCACGCAGGATGCAGTCAACGCGGCGACGCGTCAGCCTGTCATCATGTGACTCCGAAGTCGTCGAGGTCGCGGTTGGCTGCTTGCATGAGACTCGCGACAGAGAGTATGACACCGGTATTCTTGACCTTTGCTTGCCGGCCGTCCTGCTTGAGGGGAGTCAGTTTACCTGTAACGAACACGGGATCGAAATAACAGGAAACACGTATTTCTACAGATGAAGGCAGATCAGCAGCGGATATCACAAACATATATATATTACACAACGTAATTTTTCAGTAGCACACTAGATTTTACAGTGCATGATAAGTGCTTATACCGATTATGCTTTATTTACTTGCTATACTTTCGAATCTTTATTGAAAGAACATCCTTTGACAAGAACAGCAACAGGAACACAGGACTCATTCACATACAAGGAGAGTAAACTGACATTTGCAGCAATCAACAAAACATAATAAACGACCATGAAACATTTAGAGCTTGAACATCAGTGAATGCACACACTTCCATCTGTTGCTCCTAAGATTTGCTATCTTGATTTTCACGTACTTGTTTACCTGAGAATCTATTCCTGTTATTTGTTGGCGTGCATATGATGGCAACACCAGCTGCATTCGCTGAGATTATACTGCAAAACAAGTGCACGTGCAAGCAGGCATGCAAAAATGCAAAACGTAAACTAAAAACTCGTTCTCGCAAGACCAAAGCGTGACAATGTGTACCGATAACGTTGGCGGCACCAGAGCGAGTAGTGACTACACCGAAAAAATGCAAACCGCATGCAAAATGACGTCTTTCAATAAATAAATTCATAAAGCAAACACCGAACGTGAACAGTACCTGTGAAAGTAATAACCATGAAATACATTCGGTGAACACAAAATCGTACAAACCAAACAGTGTTTCATGCAACACACAGTAAATACAGCAGCGTGAATACAATCCCACTCACAGGGATGGACTCCTGATGGTGTGGTTACACTTCTGATGCTACAATACTCGACCTTTGCTAAAACGACTACGAGACTACAGCATTCGGGGACAACTTCACAAAGCGACTATGCATGTGCGCACCCCTCTGTCACCACCATTAGGCAGACTTACGCTTTCTGCAGTTGCGGCATGGGGGCACCACCGCGGATGGCGGCAGGCGTGGCACACGGCACACCTCCGTGGCCACGGATTGGCTTGGCGACCTGCGCACCGTGACCACGACGTGCAAGATTACGCTGACGTACAGCCTCCTTGATCCTGTCTACCTCATGCTGGTACCTGAAACATATAAACACAGGTGTGGGTCATCACCACTACCTTGCTAGCTGTGACCATGAGGGAAAAGGAGGTATGGGTTTCCACTACCCAGGGCATGGTTAATAACACTGTATCTCTCTCTCTCTCTCTCTCTCTCTCCGTCTCCGTCTCCGTCTCCGTCTCCGCCTCTGTCTGTCTCTGTCTCTGTCTCTGTCTCTCTCTCTCTCTATCTATCTCTCTCTCTCTCTCTCTCTCTCTCTCTCTCTCTCTCTCTACATATACATGAATGACAGGTCTGGACTAGGAACTATACTGGATGCGGTGCCACTGGATTAGGTTCCGGGATTTCGAGGGTAAGAAATTTTAAACTATAATAGCAATGCAGACCGAATGCAAAAATTACTTAATGGTATATCTACACTAATACTCACATTAGCACACATTATTGATACCAGGAATCTTACTATAATTTGGCGAATGTTGTATGTATGTATGTATGTTAATGAAAGGCTCCGTCAGTTTGCATCCAAATAGCGCCAAATTTACAGAAGAGATCGATGAGTACACGGGACGGATTGTAAACTATACTCGGTTGAAAACCGTTTGTTCGGTCTTAAAAAAGACAAAAAACAAACAAAAAATGTCAACATTTGCCTGAAAATAGGGGGCGCTGTTTTGTTTACGTTATGTTTGTATTTCGTTGTTTCAACAGGTTTCAATTTCGTGTTGTTCTGTGTCTGTGTGTCTGAGATTTGTGTAAGCCCCATAATGTAAGTAGAAATAACCATGTAATAGGAAGTTAAATAGTTTAATAGGAATAAAAAATTTTGGAAGTCTGCAATGCTGTACAGTGTACGGTTGCCGTGTACACCGATCTGTCACAAGCGGTCCGATCACAAGCACGTAAATCTCCATAAGCACGGTAATTCTCCATATAACACCTTACACATAACACACATGCACTGGTAACACATGCATCACAGTCACTAAGCCCGCGCGTAGCGCGGGTTTCAGCTAGTGAATAATAAACACATTATAATATACACAACAAACAGATCCGTGCATTTCGTATTACTGTCATTGCTCAATTTCCACAAGTGTAATTGCGATACAACCTTCATAATGTAAAAATCAAGATGGTAATGCAAACTGTTTCAATAGAATGAAATCATTTCGATCGAATTAATGAATTTTAAGATAAATCTCTACAAATTTGAATATACTTCAATGGATTTAGAATAATTGCTGAGGATCTCTGCATAAACCACGATCATTTCGACTACTTTTCGCACAAGTTATTTCATTTACAGATGAAAATAAATAGAAACAAATATGAGTCTAAAAAAAGACAAGAAGATGTCCCCATATTGGTAGATTTAAATGGGTGTTGCTATCCCCCGGGCGTGGAGGGAGGGTGACGTGATACAGTTGACGTATGCTTCAAAATCATTACTAATCCGGTAACGCTAACTCCAACACCTCCAACGATAACCATGACACTAAACATACATATCTTGGAGCGCTATATATAGGTGGTGGGATCCACAAAAATTAATCTATGGTGTACGTGGGGACAGATATCATGATACAAAAACCCTAACCCTAACCCTAACCCTGACCCTAACTCTAACCCTAACACTATTCTAACACTAGTGCTGCCACGTTGCGGTCACCTCCCTCCACGCCCGGGGGATAGCATTACCCGATTTAAACCTGGTTGCCCCTGGTACTTAACACCAGACTGCAGCACCGTCGTTTGTTGTTGTTGTTCATCTCACCTCTTCCTGTCCCTCATCGCACCCTCCTTAGCTTCCTTTAGAGCACCCTCTAGTGATTTGACTCGTTCCATCGTTGCCCTGAGTCTCTTTTCTAGCTTGGGTAGCTCACATCGCAGATCAGCATTGTCACGCACCAGCTGAAACGATAGGGAGGGAATACCAATCGGTATAATTTAAATACCAGACAAACAATAAACATCAAATTAAAACAAAGTACGATTATTTTATGGCTCATTATTTGTCAGGTAATTTATCTCCAACATGCACTGCTTGACTCCTGCTTACATAGATATAATATCGAGTTGTGATATAACTGTCGACTAAAAAATACGCACAACTCGCACACCACAAACAGTTTATGGTGGCGAACCATGAAATGTACCACGGCGGCTACGTTTAAGCAACCGTCCTTGTCTTGGGGTGAGCAACTGTTCAATGAACGTCTAGTGAGAGCAGTTCTGCTGACACCATTACAATATACAAGATAAGCACCGCCTTATTGAAATTCGGTTGGTGCAATTTTTGGAAATACTGGCTCATAGCCAAAGACAACATAATGAAGTTACAACCAGAGACCCAGAGCGGCGGATCTCATCTGAGGTCTGTTTGCTACGGTTGTAAACGTAACATTTAAAGCTGCATCCAAACGCTAATTTCTCCAGTACTAGACTAGCAAATACTTCGTGTCATGCATAATCACACTAGCTTATGACAAAATAAAACTCTAGTTCCTCCCATTTCACTGGGCGTTGTCTTATAAAAGGCATTTGAAAATACCTCCAATGTGTTCAAATTCTCCGAATGTTGTTGACACTTTCGCGTTGCTCTGCCAAGCAACCATGAAGCGGTGCTGCGGTACAGCAGTACGGGTGTAGCATAGATAAAAACATCTGACGTCACCTAACCGATTCTTGGCGAAATTGTTTGGCAAACAATTTAGAGTTGGCACCAGATTACCAGATTTCGCACCTCTGTTTTGTGGGTTTTAAGCAAACGGGCACTGAAATGGGAGGAACTAGAGTTTATATTGCCATAAGGTAGTGTGATTATGCATGCCACAAAGTATTTGCTAGTCTAGTACTGGAGAAATTTGCGTTTGGATGCGCATAGTGCGGCTTTAAGTCGTGCGTAGTGACACCTTTGTTAGGGGCAGACCTCCCAAATCCCATTGGTTGATACAAATCGCGTGCCGGAAACTCCCGTTTTATGGTGCATTGTGACCCTAACCCTAACCCTATTTAAAAAAAAATTCCCTGTAAAAATTATTTGTTGTTATTAATTTTTTGTAAATAAATCATGTAAATATTTGTGTTAATTGGAAAAAAATAGTTAAATGAATAAAGATAAAAAGTGCCGCAGAGCAACAGCGCTCACCTGACGGCAGGTGTTCTGATGCTAAACTCACTGGCAAACGAATGAAGAGCACCCTCCCATCACCACGTTCACGCTCAGAGCATATATCTAGGATACTACTAATACAGATCTAAAATCTATGATAGCTAGGCTTTGCTATACCGGTAGTACAGTAATAAAGATACAGCAGTGCAACTGTGTATGACTTCGCTATATCAGGAGGAGAATAATAGGGAATATTCAGTAAGATATTCAGAGTATATAATTTCTATAATCTAATTCTATAATCTAAATTCTATATTCAGAGTAGATAATAGATTCCCTATTATCTACTCCTGATGTTATCATGGATATACGTCGAGTGCGAGCGTAGTGGTATG